CTCTATGTTTATGTTTAGCGTGTATGTTTATGTTTATGTTTAGCGTCTATGTTTATGTTTAGCGTCTATGTTTATGTTTGTGTTTAGCCTCTATGTTTATGTTTAGCCTCTATGTTTATATTTAGCGTCTATGTTTATGTTTATTTTTAGCCTCTATGTTTATGTTTATGTTTAGCCTCTATGTTTATGTTTAGCGTCTATATTTATATTTGTGTTTATATTTATGTTTATGTTTATATTTATGTTTATGTTTATGTTTAGCCTCTATGTTTATGTTTATATTTAGCCTCTATGTTTATGTTTAGCGTCTGTGTTTGTATTTTTTGTTTATGTTTAGTGTCTATGTTTATGTTTAGCGTCTGTGTTTATGTTTAGCGTTTATGTTTAGCGTTTGTGTTTATGTTTAGCGTCTATGTTTATGCTTATGTTTAGCGTCTATGTTTATGTTTATGCATATGTTTAGCGTCTGTGTTTATGTTTAGCGTTTATGTTTATTTTTATGTTAAGCGTCTATGTTTATGTTTATGTTTAGCGTCTATGTTTATGTTTATGTTTAGCGTCTGTGTTTATGTTTAGCGTCTATGTTTATGTTTATGTTTAGCGTCTACGTTTATGTTTATGTTTATGTTTAGCGTTTATGTTTATGCTTAGCGTCTATGTTTATGTTTAGCGTCTATATTTATGTTTATGTTTATGTTTATGTTTATGTTTATTTTTATATTTATATTTTCTAAATATAGATATAAATTTAAATTTTTCAAAAATTGGAGGTGATGAAAAGAAACGGATTTCATAATCAGTGTGCAAAAATTTATTTGAAATAACTATATGTTAGTAGACTAATATTAACTTCTATATATCTTATTTATTTGTTTAAAATAAAATCAATGAGTTATCAATTTTAATTATATTTGTATTTTATATACAGTTAGTATTATATATTTATACATTATTTTTATTTTATATACGCTTAATATTAGATATTTATACATTAATGTATAAGCAACATATAAACAATTCCCTTATTAATAATTAGAACGATATTTAGACTCTACGCAAATTCAAAGTTTTATTGTGCGTAAATTATGGTGTTTATAGAATATGGAAGTAATTTCAGGCAAACTGGACCGTTTTTCGGATCTTCGAGAACAATGTCTTCTTCTCTGTTACTTCTGCAAAGTAAAATAAATTTTGTGAAAAGAATATTTAATAGTCAGTCAAAAAGCCAAGTTTAATCTTAATAACAATAATGTTTAAAACTAAGAGAACTAATCAATTGAAGAGTCCAGTACAAGACGGAATTAATTCACAAAATATTGAAAAATGATTATATCTCGTGGTGATGAAATAATTATTATCTCTTAATTTATGATTATATGTGCAAAATTTGTGCGCATACTATGAATTCACGTGCATGTGAATGATTGTCTTTCTTATGTGTTACAATTTCTATGCCACACATTATTGTTGATTACATACACACTTTCGCAAAATATGAACATGTCAGGATCATGAAAAATAAAACTGGAAAAAGAAGGAACGACTTTAAAAATCTTCGTCTTCTTTTTAATGCAAATAAAATGTGCAAAAATATGAGTTGTTAGGTAAAATTCTTCCACGTAAATATATATATAAATTATAATATAAATATAAATATAAATATATATATATATAT